TACACACATATGTACGTACACACATATACGACTAGAGTGACTTACAAGCTGTGGTCCAGTTAGTACAACAATGGCTGTCTCCTGATGAAAAGTCCAAGAATCCAATAATTGTTCACTCCACAAGGCTGGAGGGCTCAGCTGGTCTTCAGCACAGTCAGAATCCAGAAGAAGTAGGTTCTAATATCAGGGAAGGAATGCCTCAGCAGCAGGATATATGAACTGGCCAGTGAGAACGAGGTTGAGCAGGCAAAAAGCAAAAGTTTTCTTCTATGTCCTTTATATAGGCTGCCACGAGAGGGTGTGGCCCAGATTTAGGGTTGTCTTGCTACTTCAAAGGATCCAGTCAAGAAAAGTCTCTCACAGATGTACCCTGTGATGTAGTCACATTGGCAGACAAGAATAGCTGCCACAAGTATCAACTGGATTTCACGAGAAACTTCTGTTTCAAAGAAAACCATCAAGATTGGAGACACAAGACACAAGAAGGATGAGAGAAAAATTCTCTGCAAGTCTTACATCTGGTAAAGATCTTGTACCTAGAATTTATAACATCCTATCCAACCCAATAGTAAGAGGTAGCTAAACTACAAAGACCAAAGGACGAACATGCTTTTCTTCGAGAAAGATGTAATGTCTGAGGGACATGAGAAGATACTCAACATCAATAATCTTTAGAGAAATACAAATCAAACCCACTTCTTACCTATAAGGCTGACTGAAAAGGCTGTCAACAGTGAGTGTGGGAAAGCGTGCTGAAGAGTTGGAGCCTTCAACATGGGTGGTGTTGGGGGAAATTTTCTGGAATAAATACTCAGACACCAATGGAGGCGGAGGGGAGGAGATGTTGCCAGTGGACTGAAGCCAGGACAACTCCTGAAAGCCTTTGAGCCAAGGTTTAGTTTGTATTCTCATTTTATACTCTAAGATCACAAGGTGGGTGGGCTAACAAGCGAGGTTTTCCTGATGCCTAGGTGGCAGCCAGCAGGTTGTCAAGGGGAACGACGCATTGTTACAGCTGTTTCTCTATGTCATTCTGTTTCAGAAAGCAACTGAAGTCATGCTGTCAAGTAGGCAATACTGGTAATGCTTTGAGTAAATCACTAAATAAATCAATACATCTTTAATAATTGATCTTTCCTACTTTATTTGACTGTGGTCACTTTGCCTTTGTGAGGTGTGTGTGTACATGCTGGAGATTGGACTCTGGCCTTGCACTGCACAGTCACAGCCCCCAGCCCTAAGAATGGCCACTTTGGAAAACAGCTTGCCATTGTCTCAAAAGTTAAGACAGGGTTTTCTATATAACCCTTGCTGGCCCGGAGTCTGTCTGTGTTATGAGGATGGATTTTTCTCTCCCTCCTGCCAGCTCCATAGGGAGACATTATTAATTATAAAAGCTTGGCTGATAGCTTAGGCTTATTACTAACTAGCTTTTACAACTTAAATTAACCCATTCATTACTTTTACTCTGTACTGCCCATGTTGTTTTTCCCTCTGTCTCTCTGGCGACTCTGTCTTCTTTTTCCCAGCTTCCTCTGTGCCTGGAAATCTTGCCTAGCCATGGGCCATTCAGCTTTTTATTAAACCAATCACGGTGACATTTTTTCACACCGTGCAAAGAAATATTTCACAGCAATTTTTGTCTCACAAATGCTGGCATTAAAGGCATGTGGCACCACACTGGGCTAATGGGTGCCTTTCAACATGTTAGAATATACTGCGGGGACTGAAGGTATAGGTCAGTGGTATCATTCTTGCCTAGCATGCACAAAGGCTTGAATCCCACCCTCAGTATGGCATAGATATGATGAAAAGGGGTAAGTACCGATACACGATGTAACGTGGAAAAACCTTGAATGCATCACGATCAGCGACAGCCACACACAACGACTTCATCCTGTCTCTTTAAATGAATCGTCCAGAGTAGGGTGATGGAAACATTTTGAACTTGGTGGCGGCTGCACAACTCTGCCAGTGTGCTGAAAGCCGCGGGCTCATACATGCCATGTGGGTGAAGGACACACAAATTCTATACCGATAAGGCTTTCTTTACAACAAAATGAACACGCCTAATTATCATCTGTGGTGTCACGCACGGCTCTCCTGCCTTCAGACAAGCAAGTGACTGTATCTGCCTGAGCAAGTGACTACCCCAGCTGGAGGACAGCCTTTTGATTCAGACCGTGGTGCTCCATCTAGTGGACAAGAAACGCTACTGTCCTTGCCCTGCACCTCTGGAGGCCCCATGTGTTACTACCAGACATTTCCTTGAACATCTCCCCCTCAATTTTCCTGTATCCCAAGGAAATTAAAGTAGGAATTGGTAAGTAAAAGTAGATGTATCTTCAGACTCTGCTTCTCCTGTAGCAGGGTTACAATTGTACAGGAAAGGCCAGGCATGTGGGACACACAGTAACACCACTAGGGAAGTTCAGGAAGGAGAGGTCAGGAGTTCAAGACCAGTCTTGCCTACATAGCAAGTTTGAGGCCAGCCTGGACTATATGAGCCCCCTACCCTTTAGTCCCTCCTAAACAAAAAAAATAATTTATGGAAAAGATGAAAGAGAAGCCTAAAAACATTAGCACTAACTGAGACAGATTAAGCTATTCAGTCTGTGATTGACAGGAAGGGCACCTGGGTCCCAGGCTGTTCCCTGTTAACACAATTCTTAAAGATCTTTTATCTGTCAACAGCTTCAGACATATAGATGATGTGTCTTGATGATATCAATCCCCATCTTTCCCACTCCTTCAAGCATTTTCAACACATTCCCCCTCCCTTTCATGGCCCCGCCTTCATTTTGTAATCTGCTGTGTTCAATTAGTACTGCCTGTTAGAATGCTGATAGATCTTGGCTTGATCCTGTAGGGGTCATCATTGCTGCAGCATGTTCATGAATACAGAATCCATGTCATGTCCAGAGGACAGTATTTCATAGCTCTCCTCTCCATCCTCTGGTTCTTACATGTTTTTAAAAATTTTTATTAGCTTTTAATTTTTGTGTGCATCTATACCATGTATGCATGGGTGCCCAGAGGCTGGAAGGGTGAGTTGCATCCCTGAATCTAGAGTTACAGATGCTTGTGAACCACCTAATGTGGGTGCTGAACTGGGCACTGAAATCCAGTCCTCTGCGAGCACAATGTGTGATCTCTCCACCCAGAGCTCTTACATTCTTCCCCTCCCCTCTCCTTGATGTGCTCTGAGCCTTGGGGGTGGGGTGGAGGCTACAGATGCCCCACTCACTGTTGACACCTACTCTTAGCACCTGGGCTAGTTGTCAGTCTCTATTCATTGCTGCCAACTGCAGAAGAATCTCTGGTCAAGGTTGAGAGCAGCCCTAACCTGTGGGTAAAATCATAAACATAAGCCAGGTGGTGGCGGTGCACACCTTTAATTCCAGCATTCAGGAGACAGAGGCAGGTGGATCTCTGAGTTTGAGATCAACCTGCTCTACAGAATGAGTTTCTGTGAGGACAGTCAGGACAACACAGAGAAACCCTGTCTCAAAAAACAAAAACAGAACAAAACAAAACAAAAAACCCCAAACCAACCAACTAACCAAACAAACAAAAATCCAAAACACCAAACCAAAACCAACCAAAACAAAAAACTAAACCAAACCAAAACCAGAAAATCCCAAACAAATATCAACATTTAGAAGGTAGTTTGACAACTTGACAATTTAAAAAAGGGCAGTAGGTCTCTCCTTTCTACCAGGGCCTACGACCTTCTAAGCTTTAGATCTGGTTTACTGTAACAAGCATGAATTCCTTCCTCGGGAGCAGGTCTTTAATCTAAATCAGTTGGTTATCTTTATAACCTTTGTGCTCCTGCTGGGCCAGTGCACACATCTTACTTGGCAGGCCAGAACTGCAGTATGTGGGAACTGACACTAATACCATTGTGACTTTTCTCTTGCAGCAGCATGCATTGCGACTTTTGGCACTGTGAAAACTGGCCAGTAGGAAGGACATTTTTGTGTCAGATCCAGCTTTGTTTTCTGTGTCCCATGAAGTCAAGTTGTTACCAGAAGTTTTAAGACTGGGTAGAGAAAAATGGTGGGGCATGGTAGAGTTCTTTGTCTCTTGGTCCATTTCTTTGATAGATGTAGGGTAGGATGTATTTGGTATCTTTTCTTTGGAAGTCAGCTTCAGCACTTAACTTCCAAGATCCTGTTAAACACACTAACTTTGCAAGTGAACAAGGGTGATGTTTTGATAGCTGAGTGACGGGCACATGCCTTCTGCTCTTTAGGCTGGTATAGGATCACGACTTCCATCCGTGTCAGAGCCATCGCCCCTTCCCCCAGCACGTTTTTATTTACCTATACCACATCTACCTGCTCTGGGTGAGTGGATCGAGAGAATGGGGCAAAGACATTTTGTCCCTCAGCCTGTGAATGCTGCTCTAGCAGAGCTTGACCAAAGCAGTGTTCTCAGCTTACAGGATCCCTCCCAGTCTTCACGGTTTGAAGAACCATAGGGGTCCAGGACTATACATCTCCTAAGCAGGTTCCACCGTGAGCTTATCTTCCAGTGGAAAGGAGACTAGAGCTCTGGCGCACTCTCTCCTTATACAAGCTAGGAAAGATGTCTCCTGGGAAGGATGCCTCTGGAAGACCACGTGCGTCGGTGAGGATGCTGGCACACATTGCCTTGTGGTAGCCACATCCACACCCCACTTAAGGAGACCGTGGGCGGGCCCACACAGGAGGGGAACAACTCAGACCACCAGGAGCTTGAGCGCATCCGGGAGGCCGGAGCCTACATGGATGACACAGTGCAGGCCGCGGGACATCCATCTCCCCGCCACCTCGGGTCTAGTTCCGAATGTTCAGCAGGACTGTCCCGACCTCGCCTACCTTCCCTCTGGCCCCTCGGGCTCCCCATAGGCCCCGCCCCTCGCCCCACCTCCAGTTCCACGCACACTCTTTCGCTCCTTTCTTACCTAGCTCCACCTTCTTCCCCGCCTCTGGCCCCGCCCCGCCCGCCTCCGCTTGGGTAGCCTAAGGCCACCGGTCGGTGGAGGACCCTGAGGAAGCTATGGCGTCCGGAGGTCCGCGGGTGCTGGTGGTGGGCGGCGGCATCGCGGGGCTTGGCGCTGCACAGAGACTCTGCCGCCACTCTGCTGCTTCACACCTGCGGGTCCTGGAGGCCACCGCCGGCGCCGGGGGCCGCATCCGCTCGGAACGCTGCTTCGGTAACCGCCCTTTGGGCCCCTAGACTGACCTCAGACCCCATCCGACTCATACTGATCCAGGAAGCCTTTTCGGGCTCCTCGGGGAAAGGAACACGCACCCACGTTCACCGGGCCCCGAAACTCAACTGCCCAAAGTTAGAGTACATTCCAGGGAAGGCAACCTAGGGCCCTGCAGTTTTCTTGCTCTGCCCTGGGGGTTCCTCTCGGTTTCTCCTTAAGTGGCCCCTGAAGCGGGTACAGGCCGGCTTGTCCGTCCCCTGGAGTTCCCTAAGCCTGGTCTAACCAATTGGTTCCTTTGGGAACCACTTGACCCTGAGGGACAGGTCCTGATGTACAATGGGTCCGTGTGACTCTCAAGATGTTCTCGAGAGTATGCATGGGAAAGGGTGGGGCTGGTTTTTATGGGGTGGGAACTTCCAGGTAGCTTTTCCTGTGCCCTCCTAGGTGGTGTAGTGGAGCTGGGGGCACACTGGATCCATGGGCCCTCCCAGGGAAATCCTGTTTTCCAGCTGGCTGCGGAGTTCGGGCTCCTGGGGGAGAAAGAATTATCAGAGGAGAATCAGCTGGTGGAGACCGGAGGGCACGTGGCCCTGCCCTCCATGAGCTGTACCAGCTCAGGAGCATCTGTGAGCCTGGAGCTGGTGACAGAGATGGGCAGTCTGTTCTATGGACTGATAGACCAAACCCGAGAGTTCCTGAATTCACCCGAGACCCCGATGGCCAGTGTTGGAGAGTTTCTCAAGAAGGAGCTAAGGCAGCAGGTGGCTAGCTGGACCGAGGATGAGGACACTAAGAAGCTCAAGCTGGCTATCCTGAACACCTTCTTCAACATAGAGTGTTGTGTGAGCGGCACCCACAGCATGGACCTGGTGGCCCTTGCGCCGTTCGGGGAGTATACGGTGCTGCCGGGACTGGATTGCACCTTGGCTGGGTATGGGCCCCAGCCTTGCCAGCTCTGCCCATCTTGTCTGTGCAGAGGCACTAGACTGCAGAAAGGAGGGCAAAAGGGGAGAGAGGAGGCCCGGAGTGGGCAGGTGAGGGCACTGCCCTCTCCGTTCAGAGAAATTGGTTGCTTTTTCTCCTGGTTTTGTTCGTTTAAGCAAGAATGTTTCTAGGGAATGAGAGGGAAATGTCTTGATTGTCAATCTCTTCTGATTTCCTGGGGCCGCTCATGTGGCAGGTGTTACACAAGGGGCTTCAGGTGCAAAGGAGCCAGCAGGTTCCTCCCCTAGGGCAGCCAGGGCTGTGCCTGTTGCTAGGCTCACAGACCATTTGGCAGGGTTGCCCTTAGCACCGAATCAAGCCCAAGGTTTCAGTTCAGCTGGTAGGCATTTGTGGTTCAGGGAGTGCACGAACATGGGGCTGGTGTGGTAGTGGGGGGTCTGTAACACTCATGTGACCTAGTTTGTCGCCCTCCTTAGCCAGAAGGTGAATGTTAAGGGTCCTGTGTTTTAAGGGGTTGCCCACTTCCAGGCACTCTGCCCGGCCTCTTTCTGGCTTTTGAATGATGCTCCCATTGAGGGTGGGGGCATCCTGGATGGCTTATTTCTGCAAGGGTTACTCTTCCAGGGCCTGGATCATCACACATCAACTTCTGTCTCTCTTTAGTGGTTACCAAGGACTTACCAACCACATACTGGCTTCCTTGCCCAAGGATTCGATGGTTTTTAACAAGCCGGTGAAGACCATTCACTGGAATGGGTCCTTCCAGGAAGCTGCTTTTCCAGGGGAGATCTTCCCTGTGTTGGTGGAGTGTGAAGATGGTACCCGCCTGCCCGCCCATCATGTCATCGTCACCGTGCCCTTAGGTAGAACTCACTGTCTATATCCCTGTCTCAGGCACCAGCGGCCTCTGGTTTTTCCTGTTCTCCCTTGACTCTGGGTATTTGCTGAGCTGTGGAGTTCATGTTTTCATTCTAGGGAATTTTAGATGGATGGAAGTACTCTTAGCATCTTTTGTAGCGGGTTAGCCCTTCTGCCTCAGCCTCCTGAGTGCTGGAGTTCCAGGCATGAGCTGCCATGCCTGGCTAATCTTTTCTTGTATAAGAGATGTCATTATTAATAAATGCTCGCGGAAGTTTAGTAGTTCTCACTTCCGTTTCACGTGGTGTCTACATGTGAATTTCGAAGTGCTCATGTGGCTTCATTTTCATAGACCGAGGAGTGGTTTGTTCTCGAAGATCTAGACAGAATGACTCTGCTTCTCTCCCCAGGCCCACTGTGTATGGGGAAATTGTCCCTGTCATGTGCCTGGTTGTGGCCTTGCTGGCTTCCCGTTGCCCTGATTTCCTTCCTTCCTTTTTTAAGTTTTAATTTTTGTTTTGAGACAGGGTCTCACCGTGTAGCCCTGAATGGCCTGGAACTCACTGTGTAAACCGGGCTGGTGTCAAACTCAGAGATCTACCTGCTTATGCCTTCCAAGTGCTGTAGGAAATGTTGTCTCCTCTGGTTTGACTTAGTTGTTTGTCTGACTGTGCACTATTTTTTTTTTCTATTTAGACTCATCTGTTTTCAGTGGCAGAGTGCTTACATCTGTGAGGCCCCGGGTTCAATTTATAGCACAGTAAATGACAAAACAAGACGTCTGGGTGAAATTTGTGTGACGACTTATGCAGACTGACCCCGAGCAGTGTGACTGGCAGTTAGAATAGAAGGTCAGGAGTGTGATGTTCCCACAGAGTCCTATTTAACCGTCTCTGTGATGAGGGGGTCTCTAGTATTCCTCCAGTATGGTAGCAGTCAACCTTAGTCCTCATGGTCCAGCCTTTGGGATTTATCTCCAGGAACCTGAATCAAAGTATGAGATGTTTAAAAGCCCTTTGTATAATCAGGCCAGGTTTCTGTTGATGTAGATTCTAGCTAAAACGTAACTTTATTTTTTGCTTTTTAAAGCAGGGTCTTACAATGTAGCTCTTGCTGTCCTGGAACTCACTATGTAGATCAGGCTGGCCTTGAACTCACAGGCATCCTCCTGCCTCTGCCTCCCGAGTACTGGATTAAATGCTTATACCACAAGACCTATCTTAAGTCACATCCAATTCTGAATTGCAGGTTTTCTCAAAGAACATCAAGATACCTTCTTTGAGCCACCACTGCCTGACAAAAAGGCAGAAGCCATCAGAAAAATAGGCTTTGGTACCAACAACAAAATCTTTTTGGAGTTTGAGGAGCCCTTCTGGGAGCCCGACTGCCAGTTCATCCAGGTGGTGTGGGAGGACACATCACCCCTCCAGGACACAGCCCTCTCTCTCCAAGACACCTGGTTCAAGAAGCTCATTGGCTTTTTGGTTCTGCCTCCTTTTGAGTATGTATGCATCAGGGAGCTTTCGGGAAGCTCTCTCCTGCTCACTAGTAGCTTGGTCTGTTGGAGGACCCAGCTGTTTGTGGTTCATTGCCAGTGTTTCTGAGGGTTTAATTGGAGGAGGGACATGAGCTCCCGTTGGTTATGTATTTCAGCCTGACTCCCTGAGAGACAAATGGAGGCCCAGAATGTAATCTTGGATTCCTGGAATTTCCACTCTAAAAATGTATTGAAATTCTGTAGAAAGTTGTGATTTGTATATGTCGCCAACAGTATAAGAGCTTCATGCTATTGATAGTCTTCAGATATCAGTGGTGATATTGATAAATTTAACTTTTGACATTACTACGTGAACCAACATTTTCTGAATGACACACATTGTGGAGAGGTAAAAGCCAGTGACCAAGCTATAGGCTCAGTGAGATCCTGTATACAGTGCACATTTTTTTTTTTTCTGAGAAAGTATCTCCTCAGTATCATGGTCGGCTAGGTGTCCTCGTAGGTAAAAAAGTGGGTGAAGGAGGTGCTAGGTGAGTTTCCCCAGACTCACGGCACCCGAAAAGTTCTTCATGCCTCTTGCCATTTCTTCACACAGACAGAAAAATACACCCAAGGGTCAAAATTCAATAAAATCAATAACTTTTAATATTTCATCAAGGACCTTTTCAAGTGAAATCAGCACTCCCCCCACGCCCCAAAATGTACGTGGTGGTAGTGAGAGTGGAGCCCACTGGTGTGGCGTGTTGAGGCGTCCATTCTTGAGGGACAGCTTACCTGCTCTTCTCTTGCACGCTGGTACAAGTGACGAAGTGGAAACAGCACGTGCTGCCTTAGTGTTGTGAACACAGCAGAGAGCCTGGGGAGCCCTGGGGGGCTGTTCTGGGTGGTGTTGGCCCTGGCACAGTTGGGCTGTGGCCAGCAGATTCGTTCATCTTTCTGTGCACACAGGTCTTCACATGTGCTCTGTGGGTTTATTGCTGGGCTTGAGTCGGAGTTTATGGAGACTCTTTCAGATGAAGAAATGCTTCTGTCCCTAACCCAAGTACTCCGGAGAGTGACAGGTATGCCCCCGCCATGTGTTCTTTTTGGCCAGTCTCTGAACGGGAAGTAAACTCAGAACAGAGAAGAATGAATTCTGCTTTGTACATTCCCAAGATAGCCTGCTTCCTGGGCAGTGGGCTAGTAACGGTTTGCAAACACTTCCTAATTTTATTTTCTAAAATCTTCCTCCCCAAACACATGCAGTTGTCCCATGTCAGGTGCCTTCAGGTAGGGAAACTGAGACTCAGTCCACTTTCAGGAGGCATCTCAGGGTGTTGCTTATGGGCACCAGCTGTCCCTGTGCAGTGCTGGCAGAGTAGCTGAGATAGGATGCTTAGGAAAACACACACTGACGTGGTTTTCTTCTAGGTTAGTGAGAATTCTGGGTTAATATGCTGTATCTCTGTGTTTCAGGAAACCCACAATTGCCAGCAGCCAAGAGCGTGCTGAGGTCTCGTTGGCACAGTGCCCCATACACCCGAGGTTCCTATAGCTATGTGGCCGTTGGCAGCACTGGCGATGACCTAGATCTGCTGGCTCAGCCCCTCCCTGCTGATGGAACTGGTACCCAGGTATAGTGGCCTACCTTGGTGTGAGGCACCCGGGAATCCTGCTGCTAACTAAGGCCTAAAGGTGATGTGGTATGAGTGGTGGGTGAGGCAGGGATCTCAAAGACTCAGCCCTTTCCTTTTGGAAAATGGAGGTAACTTCAAGTTGAATGTGCTGGCATACACTCATAATCTCAGCACTCAGGAGGCAGAGGCAGGAGGATTATTTCAAGTCCACAGCCAGCCTGTTCTATAGAACAAGTCATGGGCCAGCCAAGGCTAGTAGGACTGTGTCTCAACAAAATCAAACCCAAACAGAAAATCTAGGATGTGTTATTCACATCAAAACTGGAATTTTACAGTGCTCACTACATGAATAAAATGAAGCAAAAGTGATTGATATGGACAACCATCCTCTCCCCAGACTGTGCTTCCAACAACCATCCTCTCCCCAGACTGTGCTTCCAACAACCATCCTCTCCCCAGACTGTGCTTCCAACAACCATCCTCTCCCCAGACTGTGCTTCCAACAACCATCCTCTCCCCAGACTGTGCTTCCAACAACCATTCTCTCCCCAGACTGTGCTTCCAACAACCATCCTCTCCCCAGACTGTGCTTCCAACAACCATCCTCTCCCCAGACTGTGCTTCCAACAACCATCCTCTCCCCAGACTGTGCTTCCAACAACCATCCTCTCCCCAGACTGTGCTTCCAACAACCATCCTCTCCCCAGACTGTGCTTCCAACAACCATCCTCTCCCCAGACTGTGCTTCCAACAACCATCCTCTCCCTAGACCGTGCTTCCAACAACCATCCTCTCCCCAGACTGTGCTTCCAACAACCATCCTCTCCCCAGACTGTGCTTCCAACAACCACCCTCTCCCTAGACCGTGCTTCCAACAACCATCCTCTCCCCAGACTGTGCTTCCAACAACCACCCTCTCCCCAGACTGTGCTTCCAACAACCACCCTCTCCCTAGACCATGCTTCCAACAACCATCCTCTCCCCAGACTGTGCTTCCAACAACCATCCTCTCCCCAGACTGTGCTTCCAACAACCACCCTCTCCCCAGACTGTGCTTCCAACAACCATCCTCTCCCCAGACTGTGCTTCCAACAACCACCCTCTCCCCAGACTGTGCTTCCAACAACCATCCTCTCCCTAGACCGTGCTTCCAACAACCATCCTCTCCCCAGACTGTGCTTCCAACAACCACCCTCTCCCCAGACTGTGCTTCCAACAACCACCCTCTCCCTAGACCGTGCTTCCAACAACCACCCTCTCCCTAGACCGTGCTTCCAACAACCACCCTCTCCCTAGACCGTGCTTCCAACAACCACCCTCTCCCCAGACTGTGCTTCCAACAACCATCCTCTCCCCAGACTGTGCTTCCAACAACCACCCTCTCCCCAGACTGTGCTTCCAACAACCACCCTCTCCCCAGACTGTGCTTCCAACAACCATCCTCTCCCCAGACTGTGCTTCCAACAACCACCCTCTCCCCAGACTGTGCTTCCAACAACCACCCTCTCCCCAGACCGTGCTTCCAACAACCACCCTCTCCCTAGACCGTGCTTCCAACAACCATCCTCTCCCTAGACCGTGCTTCCAACAACCACCCTCTCCCTAGACCGTGCTTCCAACAACCATCCTCTCCCCAGACTGTGCTTCCAACAACCATCCTCTCCCCAGACTGTGCTTCCAACAACCACCCTCTCCCTAGACTGTGCTTCCAACAACCATCCTCTCCCCAGACTGTGCTTCCAACAACCATCCTCTCCCCAGACTGTGCTTCCAACAACCATCCTCTCCCCAGACTGTGCTTCCAACAACCATCCTCTCCCCAGACTGTGCTTCCAACAACCACCCTCTCCCCAGACTGTGCTTCCAACAACCACCCTCTCCCCAGACTGTGCTTCCAACAACCACCCTCTCCCTAGACCGTGCTTCCAACAACCATCCTCTCCCTAGACCGTGCTTCCAACAACCACCCTCTCCCTAGACCGTGCTTCCAACAACCATCCTCTCCCCAGACTGTGCTTCCAACAACCATCCTCTCCCCAGACTGTGCTTCCAACAACCACCCTCTCCCTAGACTGTGCTTCCAACAACCATCCTCTCCCCAGACTGTGCTTCCAACAACCATCCTCTCCCCAGACCGTGCTTCCAACAACCACCCTCTCCCTAGACCGTGCTTCCAACAACCACCCTCTCGCCAGACCGTGCTTCCAGCTGCTTTATCTATCTCTTTTTCTTTGTGTTGGCGAGGAAGCCCTGAGCATGCCAGGCAAGCACTCTACCACTTGCCGACACTCCCCCCTCCACCTCTCCACCTGATTCTAGTATTGAAAGCACATGTTCACACTGTTGCTTTAAGACAGTCAGGTGGTCATGGAGGCACATGCTCCTGTAATACCAGCTAGAAAGATCACTGCAGGTTCTAGGCTAGCCAGAACCACATAGTGAGACCACGTTTCAAAAGTCATCAGCTGTAGAGAAGTAGGTAGGAGCAGTTGGTGCCCCCTGCCCCCGCCCCAGCAGGGTCTGCCCACTGTCCCCTAATTACTGAGTATGCTTCCATGCAGAGATCTCGGTGTGTATCTCCAAGACGGCTACCCAGTGCCACTGTTCAGTTTCCCAGGTGTCTCATGGGCCGTCAGCTTGCTCACTGTCACGTCACTCTTAGTTGCAGGCAGTGACTTCTCACTACTGCATGGTGTATTCGGGTTAGCCCCACTCTCCCGTGGTAGATCAACAGCTTCAGGGCCTTACCAGCCGGGCATCATTGGTCCTCACATCTGCCTGGCATGGGCAGTTACGTCTTTGGCACGTCTGCAGACGGACGGGCGGGGGCTCTTGTTTTCTGTGGATGTCTTCACAGCTGCCCCACTTGCATCCCTGTTCGAATCTGGTCTTTTCCCGCAGCTCCAGGTACTCTTCGCTGGGGAAGCCACCCATCGGACATTTTATTCCACCACACACGGGGCCCTCCTGTCCGGCTGGAGGGAAGCCGATCGCCTCCTTGGTCTGTGGGACTCACAGGTGCAGAAGCACCGGCCCAGGCTGTGAGTGTCTGCTGCTCTGCTCTATCAGGCGGGCTGACCAAACTCCCCTGTCTGTTGGATACATGATTTTCAGCTTGGCTTTGAGGTTTTGGGATCTTACTGGTAGCTTTAACTTTGGGAAAGTGGTCTCATTTTTCCTATCTGTTGTTGGAGTCTGGGTTGGTCTGCCCATGGATGCCTCACTGTGTTGTTGCGCACATAAAGCCGCTAATACCGTAACCCCTGTGTCTAGAGTCCTCCTCATACTGCATCCAGTTCTCATCCTGTTCCCACCCAAGTCCAGATCCTGTCTACTTTTATCCCCAGCTCACGGCCTTCCCCTCTGGGTTCTTTGGGCCTTAGGGTCTGGGGTTACCCTCTGTACTGTTTTTGAAGGTGTTCCCACCGCTGTTGTCCAGGACCACAGTATGGCTAATGAACCTCCCTTTGATCATTAATGGATCCATGTCAGGTACCATAGAGGGGCGGCGGGCAGGATGAACTGAGAAGACTGGGTGGGGCAGGGTGAGGCATCTTATCCTGGCCTGGCTTGGGGATTTTTGGAGGTGAAAAAAAAAAAAAAGATTAAAGATTATTGAGGGAGCAGGTTGGCCAAACTCAGGGAGGGTACTGGGGACACAGAATATGGAGATATGGTTAGGATGGGTGTTAGGGAGTCAGGAGTATTGGGGTAGATATGGGGAATGCCTTGGGGAGCTAGGCAATGTCGGGTAGGACTCTTGGACACTTTGCAGCCTGTCTCAGTGCATCCTCCCAGCAGCTCCAGAGGACAGGTCCATTGCTCCTGCTTACAGAGAAGACAGAACACTCAGACGTATTAACTCCCCATGCTGCATCTGCCCCAAGAGCTCGCACACCTATGCATGGTGGAGCTGGAGAGGCTGGTGCAGCCACTGGGGTGGTGCTCCAGAGGGAGCTATAGGAGCTTGTGGAGACTCTTGCCCCTCCCTTGCACAGCGTGGCACTGTCACTGGCCCCAGGCTCCAGAAGGGCTGAGTGCGACCCCTCTTGGTTGCATCAGTCAGGCTTCCATTTCCAAAACAGCTCCTGGCTTGCCTGTCTGTGCACAGTCCAGTCCAGCTCTCTGCTGGACTCCTCATCCTTCAGATCTCCAAGGCCTGCCGTTCCTCCGTCGCTCCAGTCTGTCAGGAAGCATGTCACATCATTAGGAACGCTTCCTGCTTTCTGTCACCAGACTGTCCTTCATGGGATACCACGGGAAAAAGACTCCAGTAATTTTTTTCAAGGGCAAAGGTCTTTACTGTTGACCCTCAGGGAGGCATTTCAGTTTTCAGAGACAAACCTAGGTGACTTTGTGGGAGAAACAGGCTTGCCAAGGAGAGAGGCCAGGAGGATTCGAGCTGCAGGGGATGGGGCTTCGCCATGGTGGAGAATTGGCCTGACATGCCTAGAGCTTTAAATTTAGAATGTGGACACATTTCCCCCTTTTTTTCTTTTGATAACAACATTTTACTTGGTAGTCCAGGCTGGCCTTGAACTTTCTATTCTGCCTCAATCTCATAAGTGCTGGAGTTACAGAGGTGTGTGTGTGTGTGTGTGTGTGTGTGTGTGTGTGTGTGTATGTATGGTTGGGGGGTGGAGGAGTACCGGGGATTAAACCCAAGTCTTCCTGCATTTGCAACCTTTATAATATTGTTACATGTCAGCCCTTTTATTTTGAGATAGGGCCTCTTTTAGGGTAGCACCCTCCATCATTAGCTGGTATCGCTGGCCTGTTCCACTAGGAGCAGCTACATTGACATTTAGTCTTGCATTAAGAAGAATGCTTCACTTCCGTTGTATTAATAGGGCTGCGGTCAGTACTTTGAACACTTACATTAAACTGGCTCACTTGAAAAGAAAATGAAGGCATTACAGAAAGTAAAACACTGGAAAGTTCTAAGAAAGGCCCAAGAACTGATAGGGACAACTACATTTCATTACATTGATTTAGATGAGGGAAAAATAAGACTTTATTTTTTTAGACAGTCTAGTGTAGCCCAGGTTGACCTTGAACTCTTCACCTGTAACTTTCACCTGCTAGGACTACGGGTGTGTCTATCATACCTGACTGAGACTTCTAATTTAAAGTTTTCTTTTTAGTTTTTTGTAGAACATGCTCCAAAATGAAATATTGTCTCAAAAGGAAAAAAAAATGTGTCCAGATTTTAAGTTTAAATTCCTAGACTTCTCAGGCCAGTTTCCCACCGCAGAGGAACCCATCCCTACTGCCAGCAGCTCAAATCCTCCTGCCTTTTCAAAAACCTAATTTCGGGCATGCTAGGCAAGCTGTCATCCTCCATGCTATATCCTCAAGCCTGAAACATTTGGACTGTAGTGCAAAGTCTCCAGATTGGGGCCGAAGTGATGGCTTGGGGGTTAAAAATGCTTGCTGCTATTACAGAGGGCTGAAGTTCGGTTCCCAGCACCCAGTCAAAGGACTCAAAACCACCTGTAATTCAAGGTCCAGGGGATCCACTGTCTTCTGGCTACTGGGGTTACCTACGTACGTGTAGTATACACAGACACTTCAAATAAATATAAACAAAATTCAGTCCTTGTTGTTTTTCCGGTCTCACCACATAGCTCTGGCTGACCTGGAATCCACTATGTAGAGCAGGATGGACTTAAGCTCCCTGATTGCCTCTTCCTCTCCCGTGCCTGGATAAAAGATGTGCGCCACCCCAACTGATATAAAAACTACTACAAAAACGCAATAAGGTCTCTTAATAAAAAAAAAAAACTTCAAGTTACGCAAAAGAACCTCGTGTAACCTCGGGAATCTTGAGAATGGGGCCTCACGGAACCGTCAAAGTCACACCGGTCCCGCCCACTCAGGGCTACAATTCAAGCACATGCGCAAACGCGCGCGGAACCCTAGAGCGCCGGAACTCCTGAGAGCAAACCCAGGCTCTCGCAGTGTCGGTCCCTCAGTGAGCGCTTCCGTCACCAGCGCTATCAGAGCTATGAGGCTTTGGCCGCAGGCATGGGGTGCCGTGGGGGCCGCTTGGCGCGAGTGCTTTCCTCTGCAAGGTCACGAAGTGGCACGCTGGTTCCCCGGCCACATGGCCAAGGGTGAGACCAGCGGGAGGCGCGGGCGGCCCGGGCGCCGGCCCCGGAGGCTCCTTTGGTTGCCTTCCTGGCCTCGGGTTGGAGAGTTGTTCCACGCTTGATGCTTTCAGTCGCACTGAGTGGTGAAGGCACGTGCAAGCCGGTCCACCGGAGTGATGGCTGAGTTTAGAGGTCACAACCTGGCCCCAGACAGACACCTGGCATAGTGCATCGCTGGGCTCCTGGTTGCTGTGGTCTTGCTGCCGCTGCCATGCGAGGTGGTAGTGTGGCTGGAAGGCGCCAGGAGTGTGACCGGGAGGGCGGCAGTTGTGGGGCGGAGCCTCATTTTTTTTTTTCTCTCTTTTGGTTAATGTGTTGAGGTCATTAACTCAGCAAAGTATCAAGGGCCTCCAGATCAACACCCAAGACCCTCATATGTGAAGTGTTCTGCTCAGACCCACCCAGGGCACCCCAAAGCTCATAATGGTGCCTCCTATAGCCCTGTGTGCCCTGATGTGTTCTCAGATGTATTTCCTTAGGATCATTTAAATCTGCCTCCTTGGGCTGTTCCCTTAGTGCCCTTCTACCTTCCAGGACTAAAGAAGATGCAGAGCAGTCTGAAGCAGGTGGATTGTGTTATCGAGGTTCATGACGCCCGGATATCCTTTCATGCTGTAGGAGGGCACCTCTGCTAGACCCTAGAGGCAACAGGAAGCTTTCCTGCTCTCGCTCGGTCTCCTTTGGACAATTTAGACTGTTCTGCCTCTGGTCCAGTCATATGTCTCCAACTGCCGACAGCTTCTTTTGTAATCACTGGCACCTAAAGTGGTTTCCAACTCATTACACATCAGGATTCCTGGGAGGTTTTTGCATTAATCTCTAGCTCTCCTGTTTAGATCCGAATCTCTGGGGTGGGGGTCCAGGCTGTGTGCTTAGAGCTTCTGCCTGATGCATTATTTGTCTCAGCCTCTGGCTGGTTCACTTTGATATTTTTAGGGGTAAGTTATGAAACCTGAGATTAAATGGTCTTGCCAACCTGGGCGTTCCTCCTGTCCTTAAGTGAGAATGGATTGGCAAGTCGTTGTCATGTCCATTGACACTTGCTTCTCAGACCATTTTGTTGTATTTAAGCTGTGTTTAGTTTCTGTGATGCAGTTATTGGCATGTGGGTTCTTCCTCATCCTACTTATTCAGCCTGAGAAGAGCCTGGGGATGCCAGACCAATAGGCCCAGGCCCTTGGAACAGCTGGTGGTGGGTGTGGGGACCTGCTGCTACTGGTGGGAGTCCCTGGAAACAGGAATGGAGAATGAGGGACTGTTTCAGCTTTCAGAGTTGGAACTTTAGCAATAGTACATATGGTGTATTTGTTATAGGCTGTGAATCCTATTAATTCACTTAATGTCACATACTGCCAGGTGTGATATTATTATTATTATTACTATTATTATCACTTTGAGACAGGGTCTTGCATTATAGCCTTGACTGGCCTGGACCCACTGTGTAGACCAGGATGGCCTGGAACTCACATAGATCTGCTTGCTGGGATTAAAGGTGTGCACTTCTAATCCTGGCTATGTTTGATTATCAAAAAGATAAAACATTGTTTTTTTTTTTTAGCATATCTGATGAGAGGACTGATGTCTTTTAGTCTCTGGAACATTCAGCTGCATCTACGATGTGGCAGCAGGTCTTTGCTGGATAGTGGTTTCTGTAGCATTTTAGGAGAGGAGCCTAGAGACTTGGGTTTGTGAATGGACTAATCAGCTGTGAGAGGAGGACCATTTGGGTGGAGATAGCAGCTTTCCCGGGTACCCAGATGGGGCAGGTGGAGGCCTTGGGACGCTTGTACCAGATCCTCCCAGGAAGACCAAAGGGGCAGAGTGTAAAGGTAAGAAGCCCCATCTTGCCTATGTTAATGTCACATGTTGTAGCCCCATTCAGCCTGAGGTAGCTGAGGATAGTTGGAAGCGGCATCTTCAGGAGCCAGAATAGGTGGTGCTCAAGGTAATTTAGTTAGTGCTTCTTAGGAATCACATTTTCTTAAATGCTCAGGTCATTTCATTGGCATCTAATCAGTGAATTTTCTTAAAATTTTGATTTTATTCTTCCCACCATCAGTTTCGGAAGTCAGGTGACAATGGCCTGCCTGATCAGCTTCTGAAACTCT